TCTATGGGGCCTACATGTTTCCTGATGTCACAAATAATGTTCCAGGTTGGTGTGGTTATTAGAGTATCCTCTTGTTATTGCTACTGTATAGGATTCTGAATCTAAGCATTTCTTGTAATGATAACTTGTTCATAATAGAAATTAGCTTAGAGGTATATTTTTATGTATGAAATATAAATTATTTTTATGAATTTAGTGTAAGGTGAGTACACCTCTTAAAACCATTTAGAATCTGAGTCTTGTCCTATTAAAGAACTGTAACCATAATATGAATATGTGAATATTATCCCAACCTTCCTCGATAGGCTCAAGCGTTGGGATCATCATCCCCGACACGGTGGAGAAGGAAACGCTGGAATTCTTTGAGCAGATCCTGATGCAGCTGACCTCCTACCAGGAGCAGAAGACTCCTGAGGGAATAGACGCGGAGAAGGAGACCGAACTTATCCACCAATCCACCTCAGAAAGGATTGCCTCAGGTTTGGTTGCAGGTATTGAGAGGAACAGCAAAATCACAAATGTCGTGTTGACATGAAAAGGCTTTTTTTTTTTTTCCATGTTTTTATTTATTTTTTATTTTATTTATTTATTTTTTTTTTTTTCATTCTTGACATTTTTTTGTAAATGAATGCAATGTATTTTGAAGCATGAGATTTGCATACGATAAAAGGACTTTGGAAGTAGTCCTTGATCCAGGAATAAATTTTAAAATGATCACAGATTTTAGAGAAACTCAATTTTTTTCATGAGTTTGTAAAAAGAGATATATTGCCATTTTATTTTCATTTTTATTATTTGCATGAACATTTGACTGCATTAATTGGTAACTAACCCAAGCCACTAAGGATGGCATGACCACTGTGAGTTTAATTTACTAATTGTTTTTGCACATAGATGGCTCCACAATCACTAATAAGCCAATGACAAGTACTAACTGTCTCACCTGTTTACCATTTTGATAATAAATAAATCTTGATAATAAAAAGGAAAAAAGAAAAAGAAATCTGGTATCTGATATTGTAATGTCAACAACACTAAAATAATCATAATGTTTGTAATATGAACAACAGCAATGATATTGACAGCACTGTTACCCCTACAGTGATGGTACCAAAAATCTATGGGCGTCACTTATTCCAGAGACTTTGGGCAACCGTCTTGCCTTTTGCCCGGGAAATCCACTATGTATAGTGATACTTCTCACTCGACTTGCTTTAGTGAGTCATGACACCTATAGATGTAGCCATGATGATGAGCTGGTTTTTCATGATGGCTACAGGTGTGCCCGGCTGTAAAAAAAACAAAAAAACACTAAAAAAAAAAAAAAAAAACCCAAACTTAAGGAAAGGTGAGATCATGTGAGGTCACAAGGTCTACTAATTGACTCCTTTGTGGCTAAGCACTTGCAGAGCCATATATGTGCAAACATATTTCACGAAACAATACTACGGTGAACACATTTTCCTAGAGACATTGGGATAAAGAATCTGTATTACCAGACATCACATACGTTGTGGACTAATTAACTGATATTTTTCACCCTTTGCTTTACCTTAGATTCACTAGTTTTCTCATGTCAGGGTTTTACAAGAAATTACATGAGATATAACCATGTTACAATGCATAATACACAATAAAGTATGTGAATGAATCATCACCTTTAGGATCACTTTCTGAATTAATGCTTATATTCCAGCTTTTTTTTTTTTTTAGCATGTTATGAGAATTTTGCTTTTGATTTTTTGTATATGTAGATAGTTGGTATGACAGAGTATATCTTCCATTTTTCTTTTTCTTTCTTTCTTTCTGATTTCTTTGTTTATCCTGATTTTTTATTTAATTTCTACTTTTTCTTCCCATCTTAGTTTGTGTTCTTGCCATTCCTTGAATATTTGTCCTTTTCTTGTTTAGATTTCTGCTTCTACACTGATGTATATATGTATATAGTAAATGTACATTGGTTTATTGCACGTTGCATCTCAGAAGCTACAAAAGGTAGCAGGCTTATTCATGGTTTGTTCAATTGATCAGCCTCATATATTTGTTTTCATAAAACCAAGGACTCTGATCAGAAATAAGAAGAAAATATAAAAAAATAAAGACAAATACAAACTTTTTTTGTTTGGAAGTGTGAATATATCACACACGCCATCAGTCATTTCACTTGTTTTTATCCTACACACAAATTCAAACAGATTGATTTGCATATAGTCTCAGAGGATGCCTTGCCTTTTCATTACGAGGTTGTTTAACATTCTGCATGTGCATGATTTTATTGGGATTTTATTTTTATGATTAGGTTGATGTTGATTTGTGACAGTGATTTGAAGTGACAAAACAGTTAACCCTTCAAACACCAAGACAGGTAGACAGTAGCCAAGAGCGTAAGACATACCTAGGACTTTACATCTTATACTTGCAAACCTATTTTTTTTATTTTCATTAAGGCATAGAAGGTTGCAAAACTTGATTTTCTCTTTCGTCCTATTTGATAATATCC